GCGACGGCCCCTGGTTCTGTCCATGGACACTCGCCAGCAAACTCAGCCTGGGGCCGGGAGCAGTTTCACTGGACCCCAAATCGAATTGTTCTGCCGATGAACCATTAGCACCCGATTGCCCAGCCCCTCTGCAAACCTGCCTGAGCAGCTGACAGTGACAGGCCCCAGTGACTGTCCCCAGCCCCAGCCCCAGGCGGTGACGGGCAGGCCGGGCTCAGGGCACCAGCTGGACACTCCAGAGCGGCTGTGAAATGTGCCCTGGCCAGGAAAATCCCCCCAGCCCTGATCTCAGCCCACAGACCCGGCTGCCAGTGGAGACTCGGCTCCAGCCTGAACTCTCTGCCCAGAGCGACGTGTCCCCTGGGCCCTGCGAGTGGCACAGACCCTCTGCCGCTGCCCCGGCGTCTCCCAGCACCGGCACTGGCCACAGAGCCCCCCCAGAGCCTCAGGGGGGCAGGTGTCCCCAGCTAGCAACTGCCCCAGCCTCTCCCCGGCTCCTCCTGCCCAGCCCTGGAGCAGACGCACTGGGGGTCTCACACCCGGCTCTGCAGGCACAGCAGGTTCGGCTACACAGCCAGGCAGCACCTCCCAGAGCCGGAGGGGGCGGGCAGACCAAGGTTTGTGGGGCTCCTGCTACAGCACAAAACCAGCCGTAAAGACCTTCCGGCTCAGGCTGGAGCGGGGGCTCTGAAGCCCGGGGACTGCAGGGGAAGTTCAAACCCAGGCTCCGGCCCTAACCCCAGCATCTATCCAGCTGTGTTTAATGCTGCAGGACAAACCCCACCAGCTGGTGTCCATCTTGCCGGCTCTGTGGCTCGCCAAGGAGGCTGACGGCAGCACGGCCCAGACACACTCCAGCCCGTGGGACATTCGCTCTCCCAAATGGGTGTCTGGCCATGAACCCAGCACACTGCACGGAGGAGGGTCAGAGGGAGAGACCAGCCAGGGGTTTCAGACGCCCCACGGCTTATCTGTGATACCTGAGCCACACCCCCAGACTCATAGCTTGGCAGTTGGGGCGCTGGAGCGGCTCCCTGCGGGACCCTGAAAGGACGCCCCAGGGAAATGATACAGCCAGCGGCACTAGGGCACAGCCGGCTCTGGGCAAGGGCGCTGGGGCAGACGCTAAATGGGATTCAGCATTTCTGGGGGTTCCCAGGAGGGGATGTGAGAAGCGCTTGGACTGGGCTAGTGAACAGCTCTGCCATTTGTAGGCCCAGGTGCGGGGTTCTTAACAACCCGTCCACAGGGGCCACTGGCAGAGCAGGACAGAAGCCCCCAGCGTGTGGCTCTGGAGAGCAGTCAGGCCAAGACACTGACAAAGGCCCAGGGGGTCAGCAGAAGAAATTCTGCTCCAGCGCCCCAGAGGCCCGGCAGCCACGGCAACAAAGCTCCAGCACCTGTGTGAGCCGGGGTCTGGTGAGATCACCCACACGCAGGAGACACCCACGGCTCCCACACGGACCAGGTGCCTGGCACCGCCCCACACGGAGCAAGCGGCAGCTGGAACGGCCAAGACCCCTGGCCAAGGAGCCTGACCCTGGAGGAGCAGCAGCAGGTGGAGACCAGAATCGCTCCCAGCTGCTTCCCCCACAGCCTGGGCCTCCTGCTCCCCAGAGCTCCTGGCCCTGCAGCCGGCATCGACTGTGCAGCCTCCATCAACCTGGACACACAGCCCTGGCGGGGCCCCTTCCATTGCCCCTGCTGGAGGGCGGTGGGGAGGGCAAAGCAGCAGGGGTAGGATGAAGGGGCCTGAGCATCACTCCCAGCCAGAGCTCTCTGACCCCTCCCAGCTCCCCTCCCTCTGCTGGAGCTTCCTCTCTGCCCCCCTCGCTGCCATGTGTCTGCCTTTGCCCTGGGTCTCTGTGCTGGGCTCTGGGGGGTCTGGACGGGGGCAGCTCAGGCTCAGACAGCAACAGGGTCGCACTGGAGAGGGAGTCTCACCCACCGAGCAGCAAATCACTGAGCAGCAAATCGCCCAGGCCAGGGCGCAGCAGCTAGACCGGCCCCTCCCCGGACCAAGGAGCTCGGCCAGCCCTCACCATGTGCCAGGAGAGAGGCACAGACACGCCCTGGGACCCATCTGTGCAGCCCTCAGCACATGGGGCCAGGCCAGGCCTCACAGCACCTGAGCAGTGGCAGCAATGACCCCCAGCCATGGAGGGTCAGGATGTTAGGGTAATGGGGCCAGTACCGGTCCCTGGGCAAGAGCCAGCAGGTGGGTGTGAGCAGCAGAAAAACTCCCCAGCACTGAGCCCATCAGCCTCCAGCTACTGCACAGCTCACAGCCTGCCAGCTGGGTCCACACATGTCCTGGGGCCCCAGGCTCTGCCCAGAGCCCCCCGCACCAAACAGCTCAATGTCCCAGGGGCTCCACTCACCTGCAAATCTGTTCAGAGCTTCCCTCATATCAAGACAAATTTTATACCCGCGCTGCAGGTCGGCAGAAATGGCTTCAGGTCCCTGGAGTTTCATGTTTTCACTCCTAGGAAGCAAACGTCTCAGCATCATCAGCTGCTCTGTGCCGGCATCACCACAGGGCCCCCACCAAGAATAGGAGGGCAGTGAAAACGGGACACGCACCTGCTCAATGTGCTTTTCGCATCCTGAAAGGAGAAAGAGAATCGATGCTCTGTATTAGCACTGGGGGCATGAAATGGAGCATTTTCCATTCTGGGCACCAACTTTTCATGTAGAAAATAGATTAACACTTTGGGGCTTCATTGTTTTGATGGTAAAATCTCCTCCACCATTTTGCATTAGCACTTGTTCCACTTCCATAAGTGAGGCAGGAATGTAGCTCAGTAGCTTTCCTTCCTAGGGACCCAGCCCATCCGTATCTGTGTTTAGCAACTGTGTTGAGCCCAATGCTCTGGACTCACAGCAGGGATGGGTTTAGCCCCGTATCATTTTGCATCATCCATTTAATTTCCCATCACCTCCCTGGATCTCCATGATCAGAATTCCCCTCCCACACGAGCTGTAATGTTTGGAGCTGATGGAGCCCTTGGCCGGATATTGCCTGTGAGCACCGCACATAGAACATTTACTCGCACTCCTGGGCTCCAAACCCATGGATCTGAGCTGTAATTCTGGCTGGGGGCAGAGTTTTGACACCGTCTCACCTTCAGCAGCTCCGCAACTGGCTGCTGACACTTCCCTTCCATCTCTGCAATCAGCTGCTGCAGGGAGACGCTTTGCTGGGAGAGTTTGGAGACATTTTCCTGTAGCCTCTGCAGAGTCTCCTGCTCCTCCTCCCCCAGCCTCTGCAGAAGCAGCTGCTCCTCAGCGTGTGCAGCTTGTTAAATTCACCGGCAATCGTCACTCGCTTTGCCTGCACTGTCTTCTGGAGAAAGGAAAAGAGAGGAAACCACAGGCCAGATGCCCATGAAGCAGGGAGAATCAGATCTGTGAGAGGTTGTACGGATAATTACTTCTTTGGGAAACACACCAGGAGGTTTCAACGAGGTAGCTGTGTCAGGCTGCTTCAGCAAACACAGCAAGGAGTCCAGATTCTTTGTTGTTTGTATCATAAAGGGCTGGTTTTAGCTCAGAGTGAAAGGGTTTACACAGTTCTGCAGCTGGGTTGTCCAGGGGGCTAGGTAAAGCCACCGTCTGTTATTGCAGGTGGCATGGGATGGCCAGAGGGAGAGGGAAGAAATTGAGGGAACAGGAGACTGCACAGGGCATCTGTGGGGAAGGAGAGTTGGGTGCACAGGGCTGGGCACTCACACACCAAGTGGACCCGTGTCAGCAGGATATGGGCAATGCTCATTCTTGACAACAGGCTCCCAGGGCTGCCATGTTCAGGACGTGGGGCTGGTGCCAATAGCTCTTTGGGTGTGGTCCAGGGGCTCACATGGGTGTTGGGCCTTTGCAGCATTGCCAGGGTTGGCTTTGGCCTCACCCAACCCAGCCATGTGCCCTGTGCCCATGTGTCCAGCAACCAGCCAGTGTCCTCCTCACACCCTACACCCACAGCGGGGCTCTCCCTGTAACAGGCCGGGGAACCAGAACAGACGTTCATGCGCTGGCTACAGACAAGGCCAGGGAAGGTCACAGGAGCAGCAGCAGGTGACTGGGATGAGGGGTCCACACGATGGCAGCAGAGGCTGGGACCCGACCTGTTCTGGTCACTCGGGAGCGGTGGGGGGGAAAGAGAAGGGAAGAGGGTCCCACTGCAGTGGCCTTGATCTGCTAGAGTAGGTTCACAGACTTGTCCTGGCTCTTTCTGGCTCCTTCACCCCTGGAGGTCCTGCCGGGGGAAGAGCTTGGGGAGAGAAACCCAGACACCCACCTGCCACTCTGTGGTTTGTTCCTTCTCTTTAGATGTCAGCGCCTCGGCCTTCTTCAGCTGCTTCCTGAGCAGGCCCAGGGCCCCCTGGAGTTTCTCCTGCAGGGCACAAACAGCCAATGGGCAGCGAGCGCCGTACACACCGGCCGTACACACCCAA